CATGCCGAGAAACGCACGGCCTGCCTCCAGGGCACCCTGGGTTTACCTTTCGATTGTCTTCATATGGAAAACGCGGCGTCCCCGCCCCAGAAATCAACGGGCGCCCTGGGGTCCCAGGGCCGGATCGATGGGGGGGGGATCTGTTAACTCAAGAGAGGAGATTAACTCCCGGAAGGACACGAACTTAAATGGAGATCAAGGATCGACGTGGCCTGGTCGCCGCTGCCCCCGCTGGCGCCGCCGCCCGCGTCGCCCTCGCCGCCCTTGTGGCTGCCGTCGCCGATGGCGCCGTCGCCCACGCCGCCCCTGCCGCCCTCGCCGTCGCCCCCCAGGGGCGGCGAGCCCCCCCCCCCCCCCCCCGAAGAATGCGAGGCGAGGCGAGCTCTAACAACCCCCCTCTCCCCCCATCACCCCCAGCCCCCCTTAGGTCTGGGCGTTCTCAACGCGCTAACGAGCACGGGGGGGGGGGGGGGGCGCGTGGTCGCTCGCCCCGCCCTCCGCGCATCCCCCCCTCGTCGGCCCCAATCCTGCCCCCCTCCCCCCGCCCCCCTTGCGCGGTTCGAACGACGCGTTCACCTTCGCAGTTTCCCCCCCCTCCCCTCCGCCTCCTTCCCCATATCCTCGTGCTTTATCTTCCTCCTCCTCCTCCTGCATCTCCTCCGCCCCCCATCCACGTTTTGCGGCGCCCTCCTCCGTGCGGCGCTGCTCGGCCGCCATCGCCGCGAGGCGGCGCCCCTCCGCGCGCGGCCGCTCGGCGAAGCGCCACTCCTCCTTTCGCGGCGCCCAGTCCTCAAGTCTTTCTCAGCATATCCCTCGCGAGAGATACGTCGAGAAGGATTGGGCACTGGGCGCAGCGGCGAGCCCTGGAACCCGCCAGCGCGCGGAGCGCCGCGGCTGCGCGGCGGGGGCCCGCCGCGGCGCCCTGCCCCCAGCCCTTCAACGGAGGAGGATGAAACAAAGGAGGAAGCAGAGGAACGGTGGCGGAGGAGGAGGAGGAGGCGCAGGGGAGAAGGGGGGTGGAGGGGGGATGGGGGAGAAGGCAGAGGCGGGAGGGAGAAGGCGCAGGAGGAAGAATTCAAGGTGAGGGGGGGGAGGGCAGACGGAGAATGAGGAAACATTGACGCCAGCGCCGCGCCATTGCCACTCCCCCAGGGGCGCGTTCGGGCGATTTGGCCCAAAGCGGTTTCGGAGAGGACCTGAAGTGCTGAATGGGGACAGAGATATTGTGTTTTTGAAAAAAGAGATCTGGGGTCTGGGGGTTGGGAAAGTCGGTCACGCAGGGCGGGTGGGGGCGGGGTGGGGGGGTGTTTGATATATTTTGAGATTTGGCATTGTCGAAATTTGGGGGTTTCTGGTTTCGGGGAATATTGGCCGCAGGAATTAAACATGATATGTTGCTATTTCGATATCGCACCCGAGTATCTATATCAAACAAATGTCCGTCGTGCTTCTGTGTTGTTGTTAGCACCACTGTATTCTGTGATCGAAAACAAGCACAGCTGATGATTGATATTTGATCTTGGTATCTGATCGATCGACAACCTGGGCCTTATTTTGATATCTGGATGCTCTGGGGGACCCTTGCTGCCGGAGCTGTCCGAGGCGGGGGCCCTGTCTAGATCCTCACATTTCTGTACGAGCGAGGCGTCGATGGGATCCAGGGATGCCACGGGCACCAGGCCCTGATGCATGAGTTGTAATGTCCTCGGGTCCCTTCGGGTTCTTTGTATTCAATGCCGAACTCGAATAGTTCTGGTCATTTTTGAAAGTCCCCAGAGGGGACTCGGCCGATCAGGCTGGCCACCAGGAAAGCTGCACAAAATGCGTCCTCCATTTGCCCCACGGTAGCCTGAAGGTGGCCTCCAAGACGGCCACGATGACCTCCAAGACGGCCAGGATGGCCCCGAGAAAGCCCAAAATGGTCCCAAAATGCACCCAAGACGGCCCAAGATTCACCCAAGACTGCCCAAGATGGCCTCAAGATGGCCCAAGAGGGGCCAAGAGGCCTCCGAAAGGCCTCCAAAACGACCCAAGAGGCCTCCCACAGGTCCTCCAGGAATGCCCGAAGAAGACAACATGATTGATGTCCCTACAGTTGTTCAATGATTCTGGCGTTTGCTTCGTCTCGACCACTCGACGGCCCGAGAGCCCACCAAGATCGCCAACAGAGCGCCCAAGAGGCCTCACATATTGTCGCATGACGGTCCACGACGCCCCCAAGATGGCCCCAACAGGGCCAGAAACGCGGCGCCCAAGACGCCCCCAAGACGGCCCACCAACGGCCCCCAACAGACGCCCCCGAGAAGGTCCCAAGGTTTCCGACGGCGTCAGACGGGACAGGAACGCCCTAAGACTGCCAAAGAGGCATCCAAGGAGCGCCCAAAGGCACCCAAGAGGCCTCCAAGAGGCCCACAGGAGTCGGGGGCGCGCAAACATGGATTAGCGATCCATGGATTTGGCGCGCCTCCCCAAAATGCGGCCGGTGCCGCCTCGCTCGGCGGCGGAGATTCGTGATTTCCCATGGAAACGGGACCCGTCGCGAATCAGGCCCCAAGAGAAGCCCAGGAGCCCCCTCCTCCTGTTTCTCTTCCTCCCCCCAAGTGTTCCCCGAATGGTTCCATCTGGGGGAACACGCATTCCGATGGCGTGGCTGAGCTCTGGCCACAGCGCTTGTCCACACAGGAGCTTCCAAAGGCAGGGGGCGCGCGGTGGTTCGCCGCAGGCGTGCTTGCCACCGGCCTTTGAACGGTTGTGGTGTTATTGCCTTCTCGGCTTCCCGACGCTCCAAGACGGCTTCAACCCCAAGATCGCCCCGAGAGGCCTCCAAGAGGACACTGGCCCCCCTCCTCCTCGTCCTCCTCCTCGTCCTCGTCCTCGTCCTCCTCCTCGTCCTCCTCCTCGTCCTCCTCCTCGTCCTCCTCCTCGTCTTCCTCCTCCTCCTCCTCCTCCTCCTCCTCCTCCTCCTCCTCCTCCTCCCAGGGTTGCACGGCGTGCCAAACGTTGGAGTGGTGTTGCTTCGTTTTTGCAAGTTCCTAATGGGGTCTCGGCCGATCGTGCCGGCCACCCAGAAACAAAGCTCCCCCGTCGGCGTTCTCGCCTACGATGGGTCCGAATGGCCTCCAAGACCGTCAACGTGTGCACTAAGTGCAAGTGTGCTTTCAGGCGAGGCCAGGTAGGAGGGCTGCGTTCCCCGTGCCCGCCGAAGCAGCCGGATCCACAAGCAATGAGGTGCGAGGTCGTCGGTGCAGTTGGCAGCGGATTTTCCCTTGCAGGCATCCCAAAACTAAGCGACGTGAGTCCTCACTTGATGGAGTCCTTACAATCTTTCTGAATACGTAGCACTCAGCAGTTGCGGATAAGAGTGAGGGGGCGGCGGGGACATCTGCAGTCTGCGAGGCTCTGAAGAAACCCGCCGCAGGCGCAACATGTTCAAGCTATACAATGAGCCCGCCGCAGGCGCCGATTTTTTGTTAAAGCAATGTAGGTGGGTCGCGGGTTGGGTCGCAAGTGGGTCACGGGTGGGTCGACGGCGGGTCGCGGGTGGGTTGCGGGCCAGGTCGCGGGTGGGTCGCGGGTGGGTCGCGGGGTGGGTCGCGGGTGGGTCGTGGGCCGGGTCGCGGGGGGGACGACGACAACAAACGACAGCAACAACAACAGCAACAACAACACGCAACAACAACAATCATAATTCTCACCACGGATCCGCAATTACGCCACGCACCAAGCGACAGTGCATGACCGTTCGGCCCCGTTACTCTGATAACATCCGTGCAGCATCGCAATCACTGCTCAACCGCCTGCCCGTCACAGCTTCACAGCAATTCTTTCACATCCTCCTCTCTTCCTTCCCCTCCTCCTCCACCTCCTCCTCCACCTCCACCTCCTCCACCTCCTCCTCCTCCTCCTCCTCCTCCTCCTCCTCCTCCTCCCCCTTCCCCTTCACAATTACGCAATATTCCTGTCCCCCGATGACGTCCGGAAGATATCGGGCCCCCTCCGCGTACTGTTTTTTACACACAGGATTCCGGGGAAATGGGTTTTCGCGTGGGTTCCTTTCAAAATGTTGCTCCCGCTGAAGCGCTGGCCCCATTCCTGCGCCTCTGGTTGTTCAAAATCGTGCTCCCGCTGCAGCGCGGGCGTTTTCGGTCCTTCCAAATAGGCACCGAAATTTAGAAAATGCCCCCCCTAGAAAAAAACATCAGAAGTGAATACGCAGTCGGTGTCGATTTGTTGGGCCGCAGAAGCCCCCCAACTTTGGGGCGTCGTCGTTTTCAGGAAGTATCAGGCGGGAGCCCCATTTCTGCTTTGAAAAGGCGACGTTGCAAGCAGAGCCAGCGGGTGCTCTGCTCTCCATCAGCCCCGCCTTGTAAGGAGCTTTTCGGGGAGCCCAGGGAGCTAAACATGGAGCCGCGACTCCAGACCGGCCCAGACCCTTCGAAGACGATCTACTGACCCTCCAAGGCACAGGGCGCCATGCCATGACATGCTTTGCGGTGTTGTGTTCTGCACCCCTGTGCGATGCCATGTTGTGCGTTGCAATACTTTGTGATGCAATTGCTACGGCATGCTATGCTCTTCTATGCCATGCCATACCGTGCTCTACCGTGCATCGCGTACCCTCTCGCGATCATTTCCCTGCTCGAGATCGGACTGCGCAAAAAAAAACTGATATTTACGCCATGGTACGGGATGGGAGGGAGGGGTACAACAAAGGCACCCCTGAAGGCCTCGATTCTGAACCTCTCGGGGGCGCGCAAACATGGATTAGCGATCCATGGATTTGGCGCGCCTCCCCAAAATGCGGTCGGTGCCGCTTCGTTCGGCGGCGGAACTCCGCGGTTTCCCATGGAAGCGGGACCCATCGCTAATCCACGCTCCCTTGATCCATGTTTGCGATCGCCTGAACCTCCTCGGGCCCTCCTCTGCCCACAGCCGCGCCCCCGACCGCCCGAGCGACGCCCGCGGCGCTTCGGCACGCACTCCCTGCGCTTGAGGCCCGC